GCCTGCCGGTTTGGTGTGAGAGATCACTCACGCAGTGCCAGGCAACAGAATTCGGGTTGCAGGCAGCCATGGTAAGCCACAGTCTTTTCACTTTTTTAACCTTCATAACATGCGGGAATGGTTTCAAACAGCAGCGCCCTCATTTCCCATACCAAGCGGCCGTTGGGTTGGCCATTTAAAATGGGTTTGCAATGTAAAAGGAGGGACTTCACAAACCCAACTAACCCTCCTCCCTCCCACACCCAATTCTCTGGGATGATCACTTCACCCCTCCCCGCCACCGCGTGGCTAACAGCGGGGAATATTTCTGTTCAGCCGAGCAGGAACGGGCACCTCTGAATGTCCCCTTAATAAAATCACCCCATTTCAACCAGGTGACTGTGAATGATATCACTCTCCTGAGGATAACAAAGAGAGATACGGAATGGATGTTGTCTGCATGCCAGCAAACACCGGGACCATACGCTGCCATGCTTTGTTATGCAATGATTCCAGACTACGTGCTACTGGCCTGGCGTGGTAAAGTGTCCTACCATGGCGGACGGGATAAGGCAGCCCTCCCCAGAAACCATTTGCAAAGGCTTTGGGAGTACATGAAGGAGAGCTTTCTGGAGATGTCCCTGGAGGATTTCCGCTCCATCCCCATAGACGTTAACAGACTTTTCCAGTAGCTGTACTGGCCGCGACTGCCAGGGCAAATTAATCATTAAACACACTTGCTTTTAAACCATGTGTGACATTTACAAAGGTACACTCACCAGAGGTCCCTTGTGTGCCCTCAGGGTCTGGGAGCACGCCTTGGGTGAATTCGGGGGTTACTGGTTCCAGGTCCAGGGTGATAAACATATCCTGGCTGTTGGGGAAACTGGTTTCTTCGCTTCTTTGCTGTGAGCTATCGTCATTGTCTTCATCATCATCATCTTCCTCGTTCCCCAAACCCGCTTCCGTGTTGCGTGATTCTCCATTGATGGAGTCAAAGCACAGGGTTGGGGTAGTGGTGGCTGCACCCCCTAGCATGGCATGCAGCTCCGCGTAGAAGCGGCATGTCTGTAGCTCTGCCCTGGACCATCCGTTTGCCTCTCTGGCTTTGTGGTAGGCTTGCCTTAGCTCCTTAATTTTCACACAGCACTGCTGTGCGTCCCTGTTATGGCCTCTGTCCTTCATGGCCTTTGAGACTTTTTCTAATGTTTTGGCATTTCGTTTACTGCAACGGAGTTCAGCTAGCACTGATTCGTCTCCCCCTAGGGCGAGCAGATCCCGTACCTCCCGTTCGGTCCATGCTGGCGCTCTTTTGCGATCCTGGGACTCCATCATGGTTAGCTGTGCTGATGAGCTCTGCGTGGTCACCTGTGCTCTCCACGCTGGGCAAACAGGAAATGAAATTCAAAAGTTCGTGGGGCTTTTCCTGTCTACCTGGTCAGTGCATCGGAGTTGAGAGTGCTGTCCAGAGCGGATACAATGAAGCACTCTGGGATAGCTCCCGGAGGCCAATATCAGCGAATTCCGTCCACACTACCCCAAATCCGACCCGGGAAGGCCGATTTCAGCGCTAATCCCCTCGGCGGAGGTGGAGTAAAGAAATGGGTTTAAAGGGCCCTTTAAATCGAAAAAAAAGGCTTCGTCATGTGGACGTGTCCAGGCTTAATTCGATTTAACGCTGCTAAATTCGACCTAAACTCATAGTGTAGACCAGGCCTTAGACTGAATTCTGTAGTCAAGTGGTTACTCCTAGAGCCAGCCATCTGTCCTAACAGCTCCTGCAACTGGAAATAATACCCTTGAGGTGAAATATTGCTAACTGTCACTGAATCAGCAGGACACAGACCCACTCATGCAGTCATTGGCAGGGTGAGGCATACTACCATATATCATCTACTCCAGCATTCCTAGGATCTGAAAGGTCATCCTTACTAATGCGATCTCAGCTCAAACCAATGCTATAGATGGCCATCATTTGGAGAATAGAAGTGGTGAAAAGTAACCTGCCTCCTTTTCCTCCGTCATGAGAATGGCTCCAAGGAGCCCCATTGTAGCAGACTAGTTAGTAATGCCTTCCAAAAGCAGGATGGGTGAGGAACTGTGTTATATAAATGTTTAGAACATCAAATTGCCCAAACTCAGCTCACTCTAGAAGCTGGCTTAAGAAAGTAGTGACTAAAAGTAGGGCCCTAGCTCCATGTAGTTGCCCTACAACCCTCAAGTAAAGTCACACTCCACAGGTGTCTAGTGGCGGTCATACTAGGATGTCCAGAGGCTCTCAGCCTGGTTATACACATGATTTCATTAACTCTGACAGGGTCTCCTCCTGAGCTTTGTTTAAGGTGTGACAAAGGAACATGTTGCTATTAACCCCAGAACCCTGAGAAAGGGCATTCCTTGGCCAGTTCCTTCTACATAGCAAGGAACACTGACTAAGGCAGGGGTGGGCAAACTTTTTGGCCCGAGGGTCACATCTGGGTACAGAAATTGTATGCCGGCCCATGAATGCTCACGAAATTTGGGTTGGGGTGTGGGCGGGGGTGAGGGCCAGAAATGAGTTCAGGGGGGGCTCTGGGCTGGGGCAGGGATGTGTGTCAGGGCAGTGGGTGCAGGCTCTGGGGATGAGGGGTTTGGGGTGCATGAGGGTGCTCCAGACTGGGACCAAGGGGTTCAGAAGGCAGGAGGGCCATCGGGGCTGGGGCAGGGTGGTGGCTTGAGGGTTCAGGCTCCGGGCAGCACTTACTTCAGGCAGCTCCCGGAAGCAGCAGCAAGTCCCCACCCTGGCACTTATGTGGAGGTGCAGCCAGGCATCTCTGCACACTGGACCTTCCGCAGGCACCGCCCCTGCAGCTCTCATTGGCCGCGGTTCCTGGCCAAGGGGAACTGCAAGGGCAGCGCTTGGGGCTGGGTCAGCATGCAGAGCAGAGCCCCCTGGCTGCCCCTATGCGTAGGAGCCTGAGTGGGGACCATGCCGCTGCAAGCGGGAGCTGCACGGAGCAGCCCCCGCCCCTGCTCCCTGGCTGGAGCACCAGAGCAGGGCAAGCCCCAGACCCCGCTCCCCAGCAGGAGTTTGAGGGCCGGGTTAAAACGGCTGGTGGGCCAGATGCAGGCCATAGTTTGCCCACCCCTGGACTAAGGACTATCCCCTTGTCTTTTGAGAGACAGAAACCAGCTCCCAAAAGGTGCTGGCCATTGTAGCAGGGTTAAGACGTACATAGACTAGAGAGTAGATTTCTCTTTGCTGATCCTCAGCCACAGTTTGGAAGAGGTCAGATGTCTGCTGGAGGGTGTGTCTTGCCCCCTCTGAAGATGAGGCTCAGTGAGATGGGTAGGAAGGGATAAAGCAGGTGAGCTATGGCCACTGTTAGCTTGTAAGCTCTTTGGGGCAGGGACTGTCTTTGTGCTCTGTGTTTTTACAGCATCTCGCATGCTGGGGCTCCTGGTCCATGACTAGGGCTCCTAGATGCTAAATAATAACAACAACTTGAACACCTGGGGGGCAGTATCTTGTACTGGGATGGTTGCTGTCCAGTATGAACCTGAGGTACTTCCTGTGCTTCTGCCTGGTCAAGATGTGGCACTATCCGGTGGTGCCATACACAGTGCGGAACACCACGCAGGCAGCCATGTGGTTGCTGCCAAAAGATCTCTGTTCTAAGATTTGGGGCAGTGCAATAGCTCAGTGGTTTGAGCATTAGCCTGCTAAACCCAGGGTTGTGAGTTCAATCCTTGAGGGGGCCACTTAGGGATCTGGGGCAAAAATCAGTACTTGGTCCTGCTAGTGAAGGCAGGGGGCTGGACTCGATGACCTTTCGGGGTCCCTTCCAGCTCTATGAGATAGGTATTTCTCCATATAAACAGTGTCAGGGATTGCTTCTGGTACTGAAGGGACCCAAGATCATGGGGAGAATTTAAATTGCATGGCACCCTGGGCTGTTTTAAAGAGGATGCAGAAACTTCAGGCACAGCCTCCTAGGACCCAAAGGAGTCTCCTTATGGGTAGGACTAGGAAGCTCTGATGGCGCTGCTCCTGCTAACCATGACACTGACCATAAAGCAACTCTACCATAGCTCCTCCTTTTAGAACGAAGGCACATTTCAGAGCCACTGAGCTGGATGCTGAGACTTCCAACTGTTTGAGAATGGGACATGATGGTGTGATTGCTTGAGAGAATTGTCTCAGATCTCAGCATTTTAGTGGGCTTCAAAGCATCACTTAAGCCAAGACTCTCCAGAGGCACGGAGGAGTTTCTGAGCGAGTCAAAGTCAAGGCCTCCTCCATAAGAAGGGTCCACAACCCGGCTTTACAGTCTTTCACGGCCAGATAAATTTCCCTATATGTTGAAGGCAGTGCTGTCTGATGAGCACCATCAGCGCCAAGAGGAGCACCTGTTGAAATGAGAATGACAGCACTGAAAAAGTGACAACATTAGAACAGAAGTGTTTTTGAGTAAAAATCTTAAAACTAAATCTATTTCACAAAACAGAAATCTTCACACGGAGGAGGGTTCCTCACTGCTTCAGCAGAGAGAGGAACTGGCGACTGCTAGAGAGGGTGAGATTATTCCTAACCTTGGCTCCAGGGTGAAAAGAACTGGAATGTCAGGCACATGTCCCCAACTATTACCACTAAAAAAGAAGATTCTATGACCACAGGCACACAACTGACAGCAGTGGTCTGTGTAGACACAAATACAGGAGAACCATAGTCACAATTTTCCTGTGCTGCAATTTGAAGGACATCACTAGATTTTAACAAGAAAAACAGGTTCATATTTAAATCTTCCCCAAACATCCCTCTGTGCTATTGCATCTTTATTTTAAAATGTTGATCTCTTGGTGGGTGGGACTGCAAAAATCAACAGTATCAGCTGTAAAAGTTAAAGTAATAGAACTGCAGATAGCAATTAAAATGCACCATAGAAGTTCAGATGCTTTTGTATCTGAAAACATTAGTTTTTTACAACCAAAGTAAACATGTAGAAACATGTTTTGACAGTATCATTGTTCTCTCATTGCAGATCATTTGAAGAGGACTATGAAACAGACGAACTTTTAACTCCCTCTGAAACTGCAGACAAGTCGGACAAACTAGCTATCTCAGACCTTTCATCCTAGAAAAATGGAAGACATAGAACTAGTATCTGTCAATATTTAAGTGGCGAGTGGTCGGTAGACACTTAGGAGTTTTTTAAAAAATCCTTCCTTGAAGCAAAGTGCTTTATTTTCTACACTGTAATTCAAGATCCTTTTTTTCTTCATATGTGTAACTGCAAGAAGGTAATTTCTATAAAAAGTCTTTTTGCAAATTGTTATTGTGCATGCTCATTAAATATGGTGACTGCACTTTGTTTCCTTCTTGTCTTGCCATACAAATTCTATAAAGTCTCCATGTGCAATAATGGTCTAACATCTAATGCTTAAACATAATAAAATTGCATGCAACTTGCACAGTAGTCATTACCAAATTAATTCAAGAAAGTCATTTCTGTATTATTTATTCTGTACCCTTTAACTTTACCAGGCTGACAAATTAACTCCGTTTAAATGAACATCTAAAGAGTTCCATCAAGCCTCATCTACTAACTTACCTCTTTTTTAAAGTGTCAAAGTGTCCTGCTCATTCTGGAAACAGAAAATATCCCCAAACACAACACACAAATTAAGGTGCCCTCTTGTGCTTTACACTGTAAGCTCTTCAAACGCTTATTTGTTAAGCGTATTTTACTCACTGTACAGGGCAATGTACAGCTACAGTACTACAGACAAAAAAAAGCCACATTAAGACAGAATTCAGGTTTAGCACCTTTGCACTCTCTCACATGGATAGAAGGAACTCCCTGCAAATACTGACAATGCCACCATACTGTCCTCCTTGAAACTCTTCTCTGCTGTGATGCCTACAAAAAACCTCAACAATTAGGGCAGCTGACGTGCTATGAGTGCTGCTTCTCATGCTAACCTAAATTATCTCCATTTCCTAATGCTCCTCCCATCTGTTGTATCCGCGTATTAGCTATAATCTTAGACGTATATTGTAAACTACAGACATATGGCAAAATCTGTCACTGCCCTTAAAGTGTCTAGCTCAGTGAGGCCCAGGCCTTTAGGTACTACTGCAATACCAATAATTAGTAAATAAATAATAAATAAGAAGAAGATTGAGTGTATATGAGTAATTTAGGTTAAAACATTGCAGGGCTTTCTAATGATCCCCAGAGCATGCATTACATCCTGAAGAAATTCAGAGTTAAGTTAACCTCAAAATATCCAAACATGTTAAGGTACGGAAATGTACCTAAACAATCTTAACTCTGCCCTCTAGTGATACTATGCAACAATCATTAATTTATTAGTAACATATGTTCTCATGGGACTGAGGCCACATCTTCCCTTACCAAAGATTACCATCACCTTCATTCATCGGCTCCTCTCTACGTCCTGATAACATAGGGCCACCGTATTTCCTGTGGACAATTTGTCTTCATTCCTACTGGGACAAACAGAAGACAGTAGCTATATCTGCTAAGGGCAGCCTGTAGCCTCAGTTCTATTGGGAGCAATGGGGGATGGTGGCCATGAGAAGAGGGAAACTTCTTGAGAGCCATGCTTAACTTGTAATGAAAAAGATGCCAAGGCTCAAGCAATTTTTTTTATTTTCAAAACTGACACGGGAAGCCCAGAGGTGCCAGAGCTATGAACTGCCGGGCTTAGCCCTGGCACAAATTAAGCACTGCTTGAGAAGCTTTCTGGGTAAGAAGATTTGATACACCAATCTCTGCTGAAGAAAAATCTCAGTTATGCAGAATTATGGTTACAAAAAATTACCCTTAATACTGAATAGTTCTTTTCAAAAATTGCCTCTTTTATCAGATCTAGTCAACAGGGCAAAAGGAGGGAGAGGGAAATGAGGCTGTGTGTACACAGAAGACTGTTGGGGGGTAAGGAAGAAGGAAAAACTGCGCAAAAAAGGATAGGGCAGGATGGAACACTAGGTGTGAGTAGGGGGAGCCTGTGAAGCACAGAGGGGAGGGGAATACTGGGGTGTACACTCTGGCTGCTTTGTGCTGCTGAGATGATACAAAGCTGCTGCCAACTAATGCCAGAATGCTCTGGGTGCTTTGAACTGGTCCACAGCAGCATGAAGCAGCCACGGTGTTCCAATGAAGCCCTGTACGTTCAAATTTTAGAAAAGATTGAAGGTTGATACTGCATATCTTCAAATCATTAGAAACTATTTGATGATAATTAAGGCTATGTTTTAGTCATAGGTATTTTTAATAAAAGCCACGGACAGGTCACGGGCAGTAAACAAAAATTCACGGCCCATGACCTGTCCGTGACGTTTACTATATACCCCTGACTAAATCTTGCATGGGGGAGAACAACCCAGGTCCTGGGGGGGGAGGGGGCGGGGGGGGGGCTGGCGGCAGCCCCTGGCCCAGGCCCCCCGCTAGTGCTTGGGGGGGGACGGCTGGCAGGCTCCCTACCTGGCTCCGCACCTCTCCCTCCACAGCTGCATCAGAGTTTGGGTGTGGGAGGGGACAGGGAGTTGGAGCACAGGATGGGATGAGGCAGGCTCTGGGCGAAGCTTACCTTGCATGGCCAGACAGCTCTGCATGCTGCCTCCTCCCAGAGCGCTGACTTCGCAGCTCCCATTGGCCAGGAACTGTGGCCAATGGGAGCTGCGCAGCAGTGCCTGCAGGCAGAGGCAGGACGCAGAGAAGCCTGGCCATGCCTCTGCGTAGGAGCTGAGCGAGGGGTATGTCACCGTTTCTGGGGAGCCCCCAAGGTAAACACCGCTCAGAGCCTGCCTCACCCCGGCCCGTGCCCCAACTCCCTGCCCCCACCCACACCCAAACTCTGCTGCGGGGGTGGCCCGAGACTGCCCCAGCAGCAGCTAGTGCGACTGGTGCAGGGGCTGCCTGAGCTGCCCCTATGCCAGGCACACCGGCCGCTGCAAAAGTCACACGGGTCACGTAATCCGTGACCTCCATGACAAACTCACAGCCTTAATGATAATAAAGGGAACCATTCTCTTTCGGTTTCTTTTTTTTACCATTTATGTAAGACTTTTTTAAGGAAATTCCCAGACAAACAAATGCATTAAGATTAAGTTCAGGTTAAGTACATACTCCGCTAATTTAAAGTAAAAGCCTGTAAAGGGATGTTATAATTAGCCCAAAAATAGATGATGTAAACTGTGGAAATTTGGAGAAAATTTAAAATAAATCCAAACCTATTAAGGAATGGGACTACACAGTAAAGGCACCCAAACAATCTTAATTCTGCCCTGTAACGTGAGGGGGGAAATATTTTTTAAAATCTAGTGTCCTTAAAAATCAACAGACACTAACCAAAGGAGATGGCTGAAGGAGAAACTTTCAGCTGTGAAGAAAAACAGAAAAAACGTACAGTTGATCCTGAATATCTGTTTTCAAAAACAGCCCTTTGCACAAGAGCTACACAGAATTTACACCTCTGCCAATTTCTGTGCAGATAATGCCTATGCTGAGATCATCAGGGACAAAAGGGGTCTGGCATAGGGTGCTAAATTTCTTAATTAAAAAGGGGTCTTTCAAATCATACTAATAAATGGCTTATTTGTCAGTTCTCTGAAAATTCATCTGATGCCACAAAAGTAAATCCTGTAATTCTGGGGGAGGATATACACATTGCAATTGTAACTCTTCTGCCTGTCAGAGTTGGCAGTAACAAGGACTGGGTTCAGTATCTAGGGGTTCCTTTTCAACAATACAACACGAAACCTGCTCAGGACAATTACACACCACACCCTGGGTGCCTCTAAGAGGCAATACTTCCCCTCTCGCAAGCACAGAGTCTGAGTGTAGCAAAAAAATTTTAATAAAAGGAGGGAAATAACGCAGCATTACTTTGGGGAAACACCACAAACAGCGTTTATAAAAATAAACCATGAGCAAAAGACCCACCACCAAGTAAGTTGGGCACTGTCGTCTTCCCATTAGATTCTTAAGTCCAGCAACCCAAAAGTCCTTTTAATGTGCCCATCCCTCCTCTGCACCCTACTCACAGTTGCTGTCCTTGGACAGTGCAGACCAGCGTTCTGAGGTGCATCTACAGAGTTCACCTCCCACCCTGGTGGGGGGGGGGGGGAGATAAGGAGGCACCTTATTCGCTCTGCTGCTCAGGCACTCACTTGCTGCCTCTCTCTGTGGGGCTCTACTCTGACACGCTCTGCTAGCCGCTCACCAAGATGTCTTCAGGGCCCCCAACTTAACACAGCTCTCAGTGGGGGAGCCTCACTGCTGGTTCACACTGGGCAGTCTCTTGCATCAGACACTGTCCCAAAGCAGGGCTAATACTTAGACCTGGGTATCAGTGATTGCAGCTCTGTAGTATGTAACAAGACTCTCAGTTGAGTCTAAATTAGCTCTTTTATTACACAGTGGAGAGAGGAAGGGTCAAATGGTGTCTGGAGTCCTTAGGCAAGGCCCACACCACCAATTACCAGTACTTTCCCCACCCTCTTTCAACTCACTGGACTTTGGAACCCATGTCCCCTGCCTAGCGAGTGCCGTTAAGTAGAGAGCGAGTCCCTCAATCGAGAAATGCCAAGTACAGTTCTGCTGCCCTGGATGCACACAACAAGAACAACAACCCTTTATTACTACTGCCCCAATAACAAGGAGATTGGGAATCCAACACCAGCCAAAGTGACCATTTGGGCAAGCAATCCCATCATGCTGAGCACCTAGGCAGGGTGGATGTGCCCATGCAAATGAGATCAGCTCCTGCAGTCCTCTTCCACAGCTCATCACTAGATGTCAGGGGAGAGCTCATTCAGACTCTGCTTACACACTTTTCACACACACAAAATTGAATCCTTGCTTTAAGTACAAGAGTCCACTTAATATCTATTTCAGGTAGATTTCAAGTAGGCGAACAGTAGCGATTATTCTTTCTTCAAGTGCCATGATCACACATAATTATAGTAATATTTGGCTTTTCTGCAGTGTGTTTTGCATTTACACTCCTTCACAAAGAGCAGCTAATTCTCAGAACATCTCTATGCAGTTATCTCCACTTTACTGAAGGGAAACAGCAGCAGACAGGTTAAATAACTTGGTCAAGGCCCTCAATGGAATTAATGTAACTCTTCTGTCAGGTGGAGTCAGCAGCAACCAAGGCCAGGTTCAATATTGAGGGGTTCCCTTTCAACAATACAACACAGAACCAGCTCAAGCCCTGTGATAAATAAAGAGAGGGATAGCTCCCTTCAATGGACACCCAGCCAGCCAGCTAGCTAGCTATAAAATCCCTCTTGGTAGCCGTTCTTTACTTGCTTTACCTGTTAAGGGTTAAAAAGTCCCCCAGGTAAAGAAAAAAAAAGTGGGCACCTGACCAAAAGAGCCAATGGGAAGGCTAAAAGTTTTTAAAATGGGAAAATAAACTTTCCCTTTGTCTGTTCTTCTCTGGGCTGCAGGGACACGGGCAGTAATTCTGTAACCAGCTTTAAGCCAGGTATGATTATAGATTATCAATTCATACCTCGAACCTACTTATCTGGAGCCTCAGATATGTAAGTAAAATTAGGGAATGTCTAAAAAGACACGATTAGGGTTATTTCTTTTATATCTTATTGGCTTGTGGACTCCTCTGTGCTAACCCCAGATGCTTTTGTTTGCTTGTAATCTTTAAACTGAACCCCCAAGAAAGCTATTTTGGGTGCTTGATTTTTGGAATTGCTCTTTTAAAATCTAGCAAAAGTCTATGTTCCAGATGTATTTTCTTTTTTTTGTTTGTTTGTTTTTAATAAAATTTACCTTTTTTAAGAACATGATTGGATTTTTGGTGTCCTAAGAGGTTTGTGCATGTTGTTTGATTAGCTGGTAGCCACAGCTAATTTCCTTTGTTTTCTTTCTCAGCTCTTCCCAGGAGGGAGGGGAGGGAGGGAGGGAGTGAGAGAGAATATGTGTGTGTGTGTGTGTGTGTGTGTGTGTGTGTGTGAGAGAGAGGGGGGGGGGGCTTGAGGGTACCCCCAACAGGGAGGAATTCCCAAGTGCTCCTTCCTGGGTTCAAAGGTTGTTTTTGTTTTTTTTGTTTTTGAATTTGGGTGGTGGCAGCATTTACTAAGCCAAGGTCAGAGAAAAGCTGTAACCTTGGGAGTGTAATACAAGCCTGGAGTGGCAAGTATTAATTTTTAGAATCCTTGCGGGCCCCCACTTCTGCACTCAGAGTGACAGAGTGGGGATTCAGCCTTGACAAGCCCCCACCTAGTAACCTGGGAAAATTACACAACCCGTGGGCGCCTGTAAGAGGCAAATACTTCCCCTCTCGCAAGCACAGAGTCTGAGTGTAGAAAAGAAAGTTAATGAAAGGAGGGAAGTCACCTGACATTAATTAGGGAAAACGCCGCTAGCAGGATTCATAAATATAAAACCATGAGCAAAACACCCACCCCAGAGTACGTTGGGCAGTGTCTTTCGCCTCAGGTTCTTGAATTCTACAACCAAAAGTTCCTTTACTGTGCTCCTCTCTGCTCCTTCATCACATTCCACTCACAGTGCTTGTCCTTGGTCAGTGAAGACCCAGAATTTAGAGGTGCATCTGTATGAGTTCACCTCCCACCCAAGGAAGAGAGAGAAAGTACCTTGCTTGATACACCATCCAAGCACTTGCTCTGGTGTTGCCTCCTCGCCAACCATCCGTTGCTCCGCTAGCCGCCCTGCCAGCCGCCCACCAGCTGCCCCACCTGACCTACCATCTGGCTGCCCCACTGGCCACCATTCCACTCTGCTGGCTGCCCTGCCAGCCACTCTGCTGCACACTGTCACCTTCTGCTACCACCTGCTTCTCTACGGTAACCTCTGCAGGTCACCTCTTGAGGTTCCACCCAGCTCTTAGTGGGAGAACTTCATTGCTGAAGCAGGCTGTCCAGAAACGCTGTCCCACAAGAAGTGATTTCAGGTCTAGTGATCACTTAACAAAACAAAATACTCCTAATGGGGCCTTAATTAGCTCTATCTTTGAACAGTGGGGAGGGGTAGATTAAACCATGCTTAGGACTCTTAGGTAGAGCCCCACTTCCCGGCAGGGACATCTGTCCCCAACCCCTCTTACCCTTCACAGGGATCTGGCATCCGAGGACCAGCTAAGCACAGTTCAGCTGCCCTTTTCTCATACAGTATGGATAACATTTCATTACCCCTGCATTCAACACTATAGTGATTTGTAACTCAACACCAGCCAAAGTTGATCACTTTGGCAACACAGTTCTGTCTGCTGGATACCAAGGCAGAGTGGGTATGTTCAG